CAGGGTTGCAAGCAGCCTCCAACTCACATGGCGCCAATACAGGCCGGGAAAAAGCTACCAGAAGGTTGTGGGGCTAGGGGCACCCAGAGGACAGGCTAACAGCACAAAAACATCCATCTCAGGGAAGTTGCAAGCTTGCAGGGGTGGGCCGCCCAGGGCCAACACATAGCTACGTTTGCCGGCAGCCTGAGTTATGTTCCGTAGGTGTGCCAGTGCCTCATGATGTTGGGCCACACCCAATGTGCCTGCCAACAACCCTACCACACGGGCATCTCTGGCCCTTTCTACCAGATACCATCTTCGCGCCCTTAGCCGTTCAGCTCGGGCACCCTGATCCTGTGTCTGTCCTGTATCTGGGCAGCAGGAGAAGAAGGGCTGCCCTGGTGCCCAACCCAAGAGCAGCCTGCTCAGGTCTGGGTCAAGGTCAGTATCAGAACTGGCCTCAGAACCCCCCACATAGAAAGCACCATATTCTTCTAGATGCCTCCCTGGGGCAAGGGGGAAGTAGCGCCCAAAACACTCCAGGGGTCCAGGCTCTGAACTGGGGGACCCCAGTGGCAAAGGAAGAGCTGGACTGGAGACAAGCAGATCCTGGTACCTCGGGTGCAGTAGAGTGGCCAAGGCCTCTGGAAGAGAGGAGGTGATGTCAGGGGTGGAGCCTGGCAAAGCAGGAAATCCCTCTTCCCCAGGAGACTAAACGTGACCCAAAAGCAAAGGCTGGGGCCGACCCCCTATCAAGAGCTCTGGGGGAGTGTACTGAAATCGGAGAAATTAAGGCATGCAGCTATGGGCCCACCCTTTCTTCTTGCACAGGCATAACCTCTCACCCAAAGCGTGGGCACAGGCTGGCTCACTCAGCAGTACCACAGGTGCTGTGGGGTCTGGGTTTTGGGCTTCAAAGGCCTTGGCACAGAGCTCCAAGGCCACAGAACGTTGACCAAAGACAAAAGCAACAGGCAGTGGGCGGGCTGGAGGGCTTAAGCAGGCAGGGCCAAAGTGTACAAGGGCCTGAGCTCCAGCTTGTTCAGCACCCAACACATCCACACAGCAGCTGCAGGAGAGATACCATCAGTGAGATTGGCTCACATCTGGAGGTGAGTTGCTGTTATCAATGGGAAATAATAGCCAGTGAAGAAAATAGCGAAATGAAAGGAAGATACTGTCATGGAGGGAAGCTAGTATCTGGAAAGGAGTCATCATGTTCAACATCATTATCAGGGAAACACAGCCCTTGGAGGAAGACACTTCCATAGCAGAGAAACACCATGAGGCCTGGATCCCCAGGCCTAAGCCACGTAAGCCCGCGTTCACACCTGCCATAGGCCGTGTCCCCCAAAATGAACATCTTCGATCCTGTGGTCTCTTCTAGTCGTGCAGCCACAGCCCCTGCATCTCCCAGGAGCTGGTCAGGGAACTGCAAGGCCACCTGTAAGCATAAAGTCATGGAGTCAGGAACAGCCTCTCTCCCCCATCGAAAGAAAACCTTCCAAGACACCTGTTCCCACTCAACATTCAAAGTTCCTGATCCCAGAGGAGCAGTGGGCTCCACGGAGTGGGTGGCAGGTGGTGCACGCGCTGCGGACAAGTCTCCGATCTCCCCACCCTCAGCCCCCCCCCACCCCCCGCCAAATCCCGATCCTTTGGGTGCCCCATCCCCAGAGGCAAGTCATCCCTCCTCCCTAAGTCTGCCCTCACCCGTTGACACCCCACGTCGCGAACAAATTCCACGACTCGCTCTAGCTCGTATACTCTGTCGAGGTCGGCGGGAGGAGTGAGCAGTCCCGGGACGCCCGCCTCCCTTTTTAGGACAGCCTCCGCAGGGCTGCTGAACGTTGACTCCATGAGGTACAGCTTGGGTGGCGGGATGCAACGGGGTCAACTTCGGATTTGCGTCCCTCAAAAGTAGCCCTCCGGGGTGGGTCACAGTCGCTTATAGAGACTGGGAAGCAGCTGGTCAGTAAGCCCTTGAACCCTTCCAAACTAACAGTGCACATGGACCTACCAGGATTACTTCCGGGTTTGGGGGCGGAGTGGTGGAGCGCGATAGTTATTTTACCAATCCTAAACTAGTACCGCCTCCTGGCCCCACAGAGAACCAATGACCTGTAACGAGGGTCAGTAGGAAGTGCGAAGGAGAAAGGCGCGGGGCCTCATGGGTGTTGTAGTTCCTTTAGCCCCAGCACCCGACCTGGGTGCTCTCAGGTCAGCCTGTAGCCTGCCCTCCCAATGTGCTCCTACCCACTATAGGCATCTCATGCGCATTGCATAGTTTTTAATCTCAGCGTCAAACTGCCTGGGTTTGAATACTGTACTTATCTGCAAAATAGAAGTACAATAGTACTTCCTGATAGGATTGTCCTGAGGGTCAAATTAATTTATAACACTTTACAAAGTAGTAATTTGCATATCCCATTTGGTATTATGCTCAGCAATTTGTCAGTCAGGCAAACTGAGCACTTACTGTTCATCAGGCACCATATTCCTAAGAGTTTAGTCTTTGGAGTAAGAATTATCCCATCTTGCGGACAAGGACATTTAGGCTGAGGTACTATTAAACTACCTAATAGTAGACAGTAGGTCTACAAGACACAGTAGGTCAGCAGCACAATCAGCATCAAAGCCAGATCTGATTTCAGAAGCTAGGCTTTAAACCCCCTCATTCTCCTACTTTATATCCACATTTGTCTTGGAGAGGAATGAGGGGGGAGGGGGAAAAACGACAAACAGAAGACACCTGAACACCATGTGCTAGGGCAAAAAGACTAAAAGTATGTGAAACATCTCCACATAGTCCAGGAGAAATGAGACATCAGGAGTAAAGTGAGAATGAACTTGAGAAGGGATGGGATGGCAGATGACAAAGAGGGACTGATGCTAGCTGGCGTGGGAAGAGACTGAGAAAGAATGGAAGACACAGAACTCATGCAAAAGTTGGGAAAAGAGCAGGGATGAATATGCATATAACCAGTTCCCTCATCAAGGGAACTCAGATCTCATGGATGGGAGTGGGGAGAACTTAGCCCTGCTCACTCTATCTTACTGAGAAAGCTGGAGTGTCCAAGTGACAACCCAGGTGGAATTATGGCTGAGGAGACAGAAAGGAAGGTAACCTTGCTAACTGAAGACAGCAAAGGCAGGTAAGGAGCTGTCCCTGGTCCTGACTGAGTCCTAACGATGTGTTGGAGTTCACTAGAAGTGTGGGGCTATGGATACACAGGTAATTCTAGATCCTGCCTTCTTCCTCTTGTAGGGGCTGTAATCTTACTCTTACTCTCATCCCACCCCTACCCTCACACTCAGCCCCACTTTCTATACCTCTCTTCAACCAAGTGCAAGTTGGTATATACTAAAACCCCACACTAGAACCCAACCTGGAACTCAAAACACCATTCCATTTCTTCCCTTCCAAGAGGACCCACCCAACACCCCAAGTCCTATACCTAGGAAGCCTTCTTTTCAGAAACAAAACTTCCTCTATGCAGCCTTTCCTCACCATTCTTCCAGCTTAGTATAGTAGCAATGAACTAAATCAGCCTTTGTGGCAGAGCTAGGGGAATAATACTCAGTACTGTTGATTAAATAAGTGAAACTTAATGGGAGTGGAGGGGTTGCTGATACTATGGCAGACCCCAATCCCAAGGGCAATGGCAGTATTCTGAATGGCTCCACATAGGCATCTTGACCACAGCAGTACCCCTCCCATCTCAGGAGCTAGAAAGTGTTCCTACCACTCTCAACCAAGGCCTGTGTCCAAGCATTCCCCCCCATCCTTCTCCCAGGCCTCTGGGCCCAGGCTTTCAGTTAGGTAACGGTGGCAGCAGAAAGGAAGCAGAGGCAACAGTGAGGGTCCAGGTTTACTCTCTGGGGACAGGAAAAGGGTGAGGTGAGTGGGACAGGGGAGCCCCTCAGTAGTCAGCTGTGTAATCTGTGCCATGTAGCCCCCGGCACAGCAGTGTGAACTCCTTCACCATCTCCTTCACCCGCCTCTTGTTCACTCGTTCACTGAAGGAAGGAAGGGAGAGCAGGTTAGCACCATTCACCAACACTGCTATCTTCTCCCTACCAAGTTCAGGCCCACTCCAGCTCTGCTCACCGAAGGATCTGCTGGCTGAAGGTGTCCTTCTGTTCAGGGCTGAGGCGGGCAGAGGGAAAACCAGGTGGCTGTAGTGCCTCCTTGATCCACATACTCAGGAGGCTAAAGCAGTGTTTGTTTAGGGCGAACAGGATGTCGGCAAAGCAGTCCATGAGGCTGCGGGAGGCCTGGCCCCCAATGGCCTGAAGGAGAGGGGTTCTCAGTATACCAGGGCCTTCCGCCTTCTGCAGCCAGGTGGCCTAACCATGCTCCAGAGTCCCTGGGACAGTTCTGCAGCCAAACTGCAGGAGTGAGCTCTGCTTTTTGACAGTCAGCTGACCTTACAGCAACCCTAACAACTTTTATCCATTTAATTGAGGAAGAAACAGAATCTGAGAACTAAGGGAACAAAGGCTCAAACACTCCAGAATGCCAGCTGCCTCAACAGTGAGGGTCTCCCCACCCCATCAAACCCCCACTTGTTCCAGCTCACCTCCAGCACTGCTATGAGCAGCATTCGACCATCCTCTTGTACCACCTTTCCCACGGATTCTATTTCCCCACACCGAGGCAGCAGCTCGGTCTGCAGAGGATGGAGAGTCCTGTCAGCCCTCACTTCTTCCCACTCCTCCCTGAGGATGAGATCTGCACACCACACCTCTACCCTCTGGATTCCCGGCAGGATAGGGTGGGGGTCAGGGATCATATGGGACTCACAAAGAAGCCACAGGAGGCCTTGACAGTAGGTGCCTCAGGGAACTTGAGGGCCAGCACAGCTGTGGGAGAGGCAGAGGCAGATGAGATGGAGCCTAAAGATCCTCCCAGGGTAGCCCTAGGTCCACCTGTCCCCACTTACCACACTGGAACACAGCTTTGACATCCAGTCGTTCACACAGGAACAAATCTGGCTTCCGCTTCAGAGCCTGCAGGAGGTGGAGCTGGTAAGCTCAGCCCTAGCCAGCTCCAAGGACCATACCCCCACTCACCTGCCACCCGAGCCCCTAACTTCATACATCACAGATAGAGGATGCCACCTAACCATTTCTGGGGGACCTGGATTACCCCAGAGTTCAGTTGGTCAGGTAAGGAGCAGCCCAAGGGATACTATGTTCATGTATTGTATATATGACTGCACAGGTATATGTGAGAGAGGATGGGGTAGGGATCATAATGCAGACTATTTGAGTCCCAAGTTGCTTCCTGAGCAAACACCTTCCCCTCTTCCCTCCATCAGGGCAAGATCTCCTGCAGGCCCCACAGTAGCCAGCAGTGACTTCTCTTTGATTTTCAGAGGAAGTCCAGCTTCCTGGGTTTGTGAAGGGGCAGCAGTAAGAAAAGATGGCAGCTGGACATTTAGCTCCCAGCCCAACAACCCTTGTCTCGCCTGCATTCCTCAGGTTCCCTCAAGCTCCTGCTCAAGAAGAGGAAAAGTAGGGCAGAGCTTTGGAGCCCCAGCCCCATCTTTTGCCCAAGGTACCCTGTGTTCAGGGCATTCTCAGCCATACCCACCCTAGGAGCCAGTGCTACAATGGGAGAAGTAGATAGAATGAAGGGGGCAGATGGCCTGCCCCAAGTAGTACCAGACATGGCAGGCACATCCTCAGGTCACAGAAGATGCTTGGCACAGCTCCAGCAGTCCTCAAATACTGCTGTTCCCCAGCAATCCCCCAGCACACAGCACAAAGACCTCCCCCACACCCTCCAACCCACCCTCTACCCCCATGTTTCCTCATAGGCAAACAACCCTACATGCACCCTCACTTGAAATATCCTACTTAGATATCTCTCTCATACCCCTTACATACAATACTTTCCCACATCTGCAACATACCCTCACAATGCACACACAGCCAAACACCCCCCACATCCTAAACCAGCCAGCCATACACTCAACCTACCCACAGTCCTCCAGCACACACACTCTCTTAACACACCCACAAATACACAGACACCCTCCCAGCCAAAGTTACAACCTCACAGATATACACATACATTTCCATCCAAGCCCAGAACACTCCCCATCCTTCACTATTCCCACCCACCTCTAATCAGACTATAAGTTCTAAGAGAGCAAGAATCATGACTACATTTGCTCACCATTGTATCCTCAGCACCTAGCAGAGTACCAAACATGTATTAGCCACTCAATAAATATGTGGAATGACTAAGCAGGGAAACACCATTTACAGGACCCCTCCAACCCAGAGATACCCCCTAATCCACAGAACTCCTCATCGTACTAACTCCACACTCACAGAGTCCAACATTCATATTTACCAAGCCATACTCACTATAATCTACACACACCAACAACACACCACACACTCCTATCCTCCATTAAAAATATTTCCACAGCCCAATACCCACACCTCCAACACATATCTTTGTTCATCACCCATCAATACCTACACAAAACACACAACATACATCAACATATAACATGAATCAATCAATGCACATGCCCACACATCAGTTTCACATTTATCTCAATGCTCAACACAACACACACTACTTTCTGCAGGTGATTTCTGTTCCCTTCCCAAACCAAACTTAAAACTTACAAAATAAGGTCCAACACATGTAAACACATACCAGACACAAACGCATCCTAATGTGGTCTCACAGTGGGGCCGGCACCCCCACCATCCAGTAGCAGCGTAACCACTCCACCAGCAGGACTCTGGGCTCCACTGAGCACATTCACTTTCAGCCCCTCCCATTGGAGCTGCTCCTGGCCCACCTCTCAGGAGCAGGCTGGGAGCACTGAGACAGGCCATTCCCGGCAGGAGCACGGGGACAGTGAAGCCCAGGCCTTCCAACTCCAGCCCTACCCCTGACCATCCTGGGCAAGCCAGACACACACTGGAATTGCTGGGCAGAATCACCATCCCCGCCTCCTCCACTCCCTCCAGGCGGGCCCAGCTCCCTCCCTTCAGGATTAGCCTCTCCCTGGTCTTGGTAGGAGACTGAGCTAGTTGAGGCAAAGGGACACTAAAGGAGAATGTTGGGTTGTCAACTTCCACGGAAACAGATGAAGAAACTCTATTCAACTGAACAGAAAAAAAAAATTTGTCAACAGAAAGCTAAAAATAGGCTTAAATTGAATTTCAACATAAGAGAAAGAGAAAGAGAGAGAACAGAACGTGAATGAATAAAACTAAAACACACCTGTGCCAGGAGTTGCATAAATGAATCAACAATATCAGGATGATCCCTGGGCCCTAAAATATAATAAAGATGGAACTTAAGAAAAAATTATACAAACAGCAACTCAACCTCATATAGTTATGTGGGACTGAGAGCCTGCAGGGAGACAGCGTGGGGGCACATGAGCAGCAGGAAGCAAGATAAAGAAACAAAACATACAAAAACCATGAACTGGGAGAAGCCCAACAGAAAGAGACGGCAAAGTGAAGGACGGGCCTGCCCCAGCTCCCCCCAACGGGTCTTCCACCTGTTCCCTCTCCTCCTCAGGCCAGTCCCTCCAGTGATCCTTGGTGCTTGAACAAATCTGGACTCCAGGTAAATGAAGAAAAGTCCCCACACTCTTGTTGTGGCCTCCAACAGGCTGGGTAGCCAATGTTACTTCTTAGCATACCTCCCCATTACAGCCATGGAAGAGGAAGATAGGGCTGATAGCAGGGTGGCCCTTGGCACCTCCTTTTCAGGCTCGATATATGGTCCATAAGTGCCCCCTCACTTCAATGGTCTAGGTCTGTTGGTCTGGCCAAGGAAAGGATTCTATTCAGTCCACTTAAACTATAGGACTCCTGTTTGAATAGGACAGTGCCTGGTGTGATGTAGGGCTAGCCAGGCAAGTCACTGGCAGAGCCTAGGGGAGTAAATGGCATCATAAAGTGAAAAACATGAGCCCCACCCCAGCAAAGCCCCTCTGTATGGACACAGACTTAGCGGTTAGTGAAGCTCAGGGCTGGTGACCAACTCCCACCATCTGGACATGCCGAAAAAGAAGGAAATCAGTCAGGGTGTTATTCCATGGTCCACTGGGAAGGCCAAAGCCTGAGGAAGCCTAAGACTGGGTCAGCATAACAGGTATGGGAGCCATCCTGCCCAGCAAGACAATCAACAACCCCAACAAATATGACGTTGGACACCTCTGCTTGTAGTTCTGGTAATTCCTGGGGCAAGAACAAGGCATGCACCTGAAGCTCCTGCCTGGGCTTCTCTACTCTCAGGAGGATGCGGTGAAAAACATCTGCCTGAGACACCACTAAGTAGCTGTGTGATCTTGCGCAAGCCACAAATGCTCAGTGTCCCCACCTATACCAAAGATAATAACCCTCCCCCACTTCCTTCTCCAGGCTACCAGAAGCCAATGTTAAAAGCCTGTCCTCTCATTTCTGAGCCCTGAGTTACTCAAATGTTCTATGCCTGGGTCCCACTGCAAAACAGTGAGTTCGATGTTCAGCAGCCTCCCTGGTGGAGATGGGCCAGACAGTGAGGAAGCAAGGTCCTAAGGGCTGGAGCCCTCTTTTATTTAACAGCATCTGAGGATGACCTCATTCTGGACACTGGGGATGCAGAGAAGGACAAGAGAGACAGACATGAAGGCTATTTGGTGTGTGTAGTCTGTGCTTTATCAGCAGTGTGTACACGATGCAGTCTTGACACAGAGTTAGAAGCACCCACTTTTGCCTCAGAGTCACTTTGCTGAGGACTGATGCAGTCTTCCTCTTGTCTAAGGCATGAAGGAGTGAGAGTTCACCCAGTAAAGGGCACAGGGCACTCTAGTCAGAGGAGCAAACCACAGGGATCAAATGAGACATGGTAAGGAAAGAGTCAGTGTGGCTGAAATGCTAGTCATGAGGACAGAAGAAGACATTAGAGGTGCACCAGAGCTCTGTCTTATGTGTGGGAAAGGGACTTGAAGGCAATGGACAGTAATGAAACAGTTTTAAGCCAGGGAGGAAAAATGCTGATTAGTGTTCTATGAAGAATATAGTGACTGTTGTATGCAGAATGGACTGATGAGAAGGGCAGATGTCAAGGTAGAAGTTTGTGGTATTAATTCAGGGAGACAGACTCTAAACTGAGGCTGGGACCTTGGAGGGTGGGGAGGAATGGGCCCACTGAGAGAAGAACAGAGCCAGAATCATTGGGACTATTGTAGAGGAGGTGTGAGGAGTGGGATAAGTGGATTTGAGAATGACTACACCAGGTTTCTGGCTCAGGTTTCTCCTCTGTTTGGATCTACCTCATGGCTCACACAGAGGCCAGGACTATGAGACCAAGCACGGAGGATATGAGGAGAAAGCACTTTGTCCTACAGCTGAGACCTCTGGTGGGCCTCAAACCTAGGACCACAAATCCAGGTAAGACTCACAAGGCTGACAGAACAGCACTACTTTCTCCCCAGTTTCTAACCTGGGTCAGATAAAGGGCTGAGACCAGCCTGGAGGCGAGCTCCCAACTCTTTTGGGCAGAGGGCCACAGAGAGTGGCCCAGAGACCACCACCAAAGGTCTTTGGCTTTGGGCCTTAAAAAGACTAAAACTTGACATGGGGAAAGGAATCAGCACCCTAAGAACTTCATGTGCAAAATCTGCAAGCCAGGCATCCAAAGGGACTGATTTGAAGATCTATCACAATTCCATCAAGTATATGACATTTCCATTTCACAGGTACGGAAATGAGGTTCAGCAAAGGTAAGTGACTTGCCCAGGGTCACACAACTAGTTGGTGGTGATGAGCTAAGAATCTAGGTCTATCTAACTTCAAAGCCCATGCTCTTCCCACTTCTCATTATATCCCCCAGGAAAGGCCAACTTAGTGCCCAAAGTCCCTCAGAGCCTTGCCCCACCTTCTCCCATGTCCAGGCTGGCCCTGAGCCCAGCAGACCAGTAGAAGACCTCTTATCCACTTCAACTAAAGTGTCAACTATTTGTAATGTGGCAATTGTGCTGTGCTTCATCCCACAAGTTTCCCATCAAGTCCCATGTGAGACTCAGGGGACAGAGAACAGAGTGGGCAGCTTTGGCTCCCCAATTGGGGAAGCAGAGGCAGTGGCAGCAGCAGCAGAGACCCTGGTCAGGACCTACCTTGCTGGAAGAGAGTGAGTGTGATGGAGGTGACGAGCAGGAAGAGTGCCTCGATTGGGGGGAAGTGGGCAGGCTCATGAGCAAAGATGTGGACCAGCTACAACAAAGCAGGGAATGCTGGTCAGCTGAGGCCCACTTCACCAGGACAGATCAACATCCCTGGAAAGCAGATGGGGACTCCAGCCATGGCATCTATCTGACCCACCCCCCACCCAGAGTCAGATCTCTGACTACAATGACATCTAGAATACTGGCTGCCCCAGTCAGAAGGCCCACCTGTCGGGTGAGGTCAAGAGCAGAGGCCTGGGGGATGGTGCTGTACATCCGACCCAGCATCTCACACAGCTGTGGCACCATGGGGGCAAAGTCATCCAGCAGCGTTTTAACAGACTTCTCAAAGATAGCACATACAGCCTTGGGAAGAAAGCAAAGGAACTCTGTTCCAGCTGACCACAACCAGTGGTCAGAACTGAAGCCCTTTATGAAGGGGGCTTAAGAAAGGACCCTTAGCTAGAAGCCTGACTGAGCCCTACAGACCACCAAAAGTAAACAATCTGACCCTTACCCTAAAAAGCAGGGGGCAAAAGGGACCTCCACAGAGGCACATAGGCTGCAACTTAACTCTTGCTACTTCTACCATTTCCTCTCAGGAAGCAGTAACAGCAACAAAAACCTGAATTGAAAAGGAACTAAAGGCAGGTCTCTGATGCCACTCAGCTCTAACCCAGTCTACTCAGAGCCTTTCATTAAGTACTTCTAGTGATACTGAGGAGCTCTAAATGTCTTCCCAAAAGATTCCTTGTGCCTGTGGGGCAAAATTTCCTTCAGACTATCAAAAGCCAAAGTAGGGCAGCAACACTTCACTCTTGCTCCATCCCCAGGCAAAATCACCATGGGAGCAGAAAGCAAGTGTCAGGGCTCACCTCGACCACCTGGGCATCATTCAACCACTTGCTCAGCACCTTCTGGATAAGCTGGAAGACCTGCTGCAGCACCACCACCACCTGGAGACACAGGGAGAAGTGAGATACCCCCACCACCACTGCCACCCACCTGAGAAGGACAAGTAATAGACAATAGGTGAGGACTTTAACCCATTACCCTGACTGCACACTGAGGACTCCGTACATGGGACCCCTGGAGCAAGGAGTGGTTTGCTGAAGCCCCAAGTAATGCAAGAAAGAGAAGAAAATCATGAATTTTAGGGGTGCTATCAAAGGAAGCCTCAAACTACAAAACAGGGATATCATAAGTGCCTCGTAAGATTATGACAGTTTTGTAAACCAGGTACCAGTGGCTCATGCCTGACATCCTGGCTACTTGGGAGGCTAAGATCAGGAGGATCGTGGTTCAAAGCCAGCCTGGGCAAAAAGTTCATGAGACCCCCCCCCATCTCAATGAATAGCTGGACACAGTGGTGCACTCCTGTCATCCCAGCTTCTTGGGATGCTGAGATAGGAAGGGTCGTACAGCATCAGGCCAGCCTGGGCAAAAAGCAAGGTCTATCTCAAAGATAACCAGAGCAAACAGGGCTGGAAGAGTGGCTCAAGTAGTAGAGCACCTGTCTAGCAAGCACAAGGTCCCAAGTTCAAAGCTCAATATTACCCACCCCCCAAAAATGACAACATTGTAAACTTAAAATAAATAAATAGAAAGTCATGTTCTATCCACTTCTGCTCAGTAAAACCAAAGCAATGGGCTAGCCCCAGAAGGAGTGGCTTGAGATGCTGTATTACCCACATAGGAATGGGGTAGGGAGCACCAAGGGTTGCATAGATTTGGACAGCTTATGGAGGAATAGAGGGTAGGTTAAGGTCCTGGGAGGTGAGGAAAGGCAGAATGATGAGTACCATAGAAGGGACTTTCTAGGATGACTGCCCATGCTTGGTCTGGAGCCAAAAGGGTAACTGAAACTGGGGCAGGAGTTGAGCAGAGGGGCCAGGGTACCTGTGGCTTCCTTCTCTCCAGGAGAAACACTGCGGGGTTCAGGAACAATGACAAAAGCAGTCCCTCATATTTGTATATATCTTTATAGTATGCAAACTGTTCTCACTAAAGACCATATCTGTATCCAACAGTCCTATGAGATGAGCAAACCAGTTTTGAGTGGGAAGCTGAGGCTTGACCCAGGCTTGTAAAGGGTCACCCAACCCCTGTGCCCAAGTTCATCACAGTACTTATCACAACGCTTTCAGCAATCTGTTTACTTGTGTGTCCTTTAGACTGGGAGCACCTCGAAGGCAAGAACTATTACATATAGAGTACGTAAGCATCTTCTGTGCCCACAGGGGACAGTGAATGATGAAGTAGAAGACCACAAAGAGTTGGGGGGTTTAATGAGGGCCCATAATGATAACTTTTGGGGTTATCAGAGATAATATCAACATCCCTGATAGGGGTACACAGACCTCAATTACATCACCCCAATTGGGCTGGGGACAAGGAAAACATCATTTACAGGGATGAATGAGATAATGACATTGATACATATAAAGTGGAGGACAACGATAAGGTCATTTCCAGGATCAGAGGACCAAATACATGACCCCCACGGGGCCAGGGGAGCAATGATAACATTACCCACAGAGTTGGAGGGTGACAACAACATTCCCACAGGAAAGAGAAAAGAGCAAAGACAATGTCACCCACTGGGTTGGGTCCCTGTGGTACTGGCAGCTTCCGGAGCTCAGGACCTTCATGATCATCCTCATGATGACTGACATCCAGTGTGGTAAAGAGGTTGGAGAGAAGTCCCAAGATGTGGACAATGGCCAGCTTGTTGGAGGGATTTGGCTATGGAGAGAAGTAAATCAAGCTCCAGATCTCTCAAGCCCAGCTTAGTCCTCAGATTGCTCAGCCCTGGCCCTGAGTGCCAGTTCCAACACCATCCCTCAACAAGAGGAAGCCCCAGAGTCCCAGCACTGCCCCTGGACACCAGAGCTCACTCACTATCTCCTCTGCCAGCTTTTCCAGCTGCTGGATATAGGGTGAGATAAGCGAGTGCAGGTTCTTAAGGATCTCCTCCACCTGCAGGGCTGACAGCAGGAAGCCCAGAGCCTGCATCAGCCACATGCACTGACTCGTCTGTGGGGCAGAAAAAAGGGATGGTTCGTGCTGACCACATCTAGTTTTGAGTGGAAAGGAGAATGAGTCTTCTGGGGAAAGGTTCCAAGAATAGAGAATAAGGGATAGGGGATAGGAAGAGGCAGAAGACAGCATTTGAGGGATAAGGATTTCCCACAAAACCCCCATGGAGATCCCTAGAAACTTTTGAGCTGTACCTTGTGGATCTGCTTCATCAGTACATCCTGGGGGTAGAAAAGAAGGACATGGTATCAGTGCAGGGCAGTGCACCCTGAGGCCCAGCACCACCAAGCACTCCCTCCTACCTGGGAGACAGCCACGATGTTGGCAGCATAGGGTGGTAGGTCATATTTGCACTCTCGGCAGATCTTCTTAAGGGTGGACACAGAAGAAACAGACAGCTCAGGATTGCCTAAGGCATGCAGTACAAGGGGCAGAACGCTGTTGATCATGACAGGGTGATCAGCCAACCACTCAGACAGAGCTCCTGGAGAAAAAGGGGAAAGGGAAGAATCTCTGAGGCAGACCAAGCTGGCTTTGTACCATGTCTCTGAGGCAGGCAGAGGTCTTAGCAGGGTCAACTTGTAGCCCCAGCATAAAGAAGTGCTCATTCAGAAGACCAAGTGGGAAAATATGCATGTGCAGGTTCAAACATGAGTCTCACAGCTGAGAAGCAGAAAGGGGCTGCTCAACAGATGTCTAGCCCTGCTGTTCCATTGACAGTGAACTAGCCTCACTACAATGGATCCCAGGACCATTGGCTGTAACGCTGTTGGTGTGTGGGAGCATGTGTCTCTCCTAGTTTGGACAGGACTAAGCAGGCTGGCCATGGTTAGGGATGTGTGCTGTGGCTCTAGGAATGTGGTCATGGATATATGCCAGGTCTCACCAATGGTGAACATGACAGTATCTGCCAGCTGCACGTTGCTGATGCTGATCCGTGGGATGAGACCAATGAGCCCGGGCACCACATCAGAATAGTTGACATCGATGGTCTCTGCGATGGATTGGAAGCCATAGAGCAGGGCCTCTGTGTGCTGGGGAAAGAGGTGCCACTGGCTTGGCTGAAGAGGAGGGTGTGACAGGTCAGGGAGGGCTGAGGGAATCAGGCGTGGGAGGTACCTGCCAGGAGTAGGGCTCCTCTGAGCTGGTGAGCAAACGGCCCAGCTTGTCATAGAGGTTGCTGAGCAGCTCGGCCCCCAGCATCTCATAGACATACATGAGCGTGTCTGAGATGTCCACCCTGAGAAGCACATGAAGGCCTTTTACATTGCCTGGATCATGAACCCAAGCCCAGGAGCCTACCCCAGGACCCTCATATCCCTTTAAAATGTCCTAAAGAATAGAGAAAGGAGCCCCAGAAGTCAGGAAGCCTGGCCTTGGGCCCCTTCCTTTATTGCATTTACATTTATTATTTTAGGACTCTGTTTAGAGCTAGGATTGGCTTGCTACCATCACCTGTAAATTCGGAACTGCTCCTTCTCATCTGAGGACCAAAATCCATATTCCTCATCAGAAGGGAACTGGGCCTTATGCAGAAGCACATCCACCAGCTGAAAGTAGACTGGCCGGTACACCTGCTGGTACACAGCCTGCTTCTCTGCCTCAAAGGACAGAATATCATCCTGAGAGAGCCAGGGAAGACAGTTAGCCACCTCACCAGCAGCCACAGAAGCCCATGATCCACCTTCTTCCATGACAGCCCAGTCTTACTGGTGCTCACTTAGACACACCTGCAGCGTGTACCAGAAAGTAAGTGTTAGGGAGCTAGTGGTCTCATTGACAGGATAGTGGCCTGGGATGCCTGTGCAGAACATGATCATGTTGACAAGTGCCAGGAAGCTCTGCCAGTGCTCCACTTGGTCCAGCAAGGCCCTAGGAGGAAGAGATATAAGGTCATTAAACTTTCCCAAAGGGGTTCCATAGCCTCACCTCTTAGAGGACCCCGCAATCCCACTACCAGCTGCTCCACTCCCTACCGGGAGTGGTTCTCGCCCAGGGCCACAGCAATGCGACAGATGCCATGGGAGGTCTCCATGTCCCCATTCTGCACTGCCTGTCGCAGTTGTTCCTGGAGTCCCAGCACCAGCGGGATGAGTTTCAGGAGTGTGTTCACATACCTAGAGGCAAGAGGTATGAGGAGACCCATCAGAGCTGCCCCACCAACTTTGAGAGAAAGACGCACTCTCTGCCTTCCATCAAAATTCCCTCCTATCAAATGTAAGCCAAAATGAGGTCAGGGCCTATATGGTAGCTTTGATACTGCTCATATTGAGAAGAACATTAGGTCAGAAATCTTCAGGAGAACTATGGGAAGGAAGTATGAGGTCAGCATTATAGCCTGAATTGTGTCTTCTGGTTGGACTGAAAGTCAGTGTTGGAATGGGTTAACTTTTGGGGAGGTTAGGGTGAGGTAAGTGCATTTTGCATGTGGGAGTGACATAAATTTGGGGGAACCAAAAGGCAAATGAGATGCTTATAGGTTGAAGTGTCTGCCTCCCAAAAAGATATGTTGAAGTCCTAATACTCTTTTCCTATTTGTAAAAAGTCATTGCAGATGCAATCAATCTGGAGGAGGCTGTGGTCCTAATCTAATATGACTGGTATCCTTGTAAGTCAACCATGTGAACACAGAGACATAATGGGAGAATACCAAGTAAAAACAAAGCTAGAGATTGGAATTATGTGGCTACATGCCAAGGAATGCCAAAGACTGCCAGCAAATCACCAGAAGCCAGATAACAGAAAGGAAAGAGTCTCCTATAGGTTTCAGAGGGAACAGTTTTGCTTATGCCTTCATTTCAGAATTCTAGCTTCTATAAGTGTGAGACAACCAATTTCTGTTCTTTAAAGTCACGCAGTTTGTGGTACTTTGTTATAGCAGCCCTAGGAAACTAAGACAGTGTTAAGGGAGATTGAACAGGGTGGGAATGTCAGGAACCGCATTAAAGGGTATCATGAGACCATCAATCCCTACCCTTTATCATCAAATCCCAACTCCTGTGTAGTCCGGTGACAGTAGGAAGGGAGAGAAGTAGATGATAAATTCAGAGAGGTAAGGGAGAAAATGACAGGACCTAATGACCGGTTGGATATAAAGATGGGAAAGAGTTAAGGATAACTCTCCAACTAAATAAAGAGTGGAACTACTTACTGAGACCTTGAAAGGATAGAGGGGAACAGTTACACCTTTAATGGGAGGTGTAAAAGGTTAAGTTCAGAATTAGACATGATATGTAGGTAGAAGTATTTATAAAGAATAGGATTTAAAACCCTGAAGTCCAGCAGGGAGGTTAGAGCAAGAGACGTAGATTTGGGAGTCATCAGCTAACAGCTGGAAATTGAAGCTATGGGAATAGATAAGAACTGCCCAGGAAGAAAGTGTTGAATGAGAGAAAAGAAGAACGTTCAGGTTAGAACTCTGAAGCACAATGATCCCTAAAGAAGGAACAGAGGAAGCCCAGTATTACAAAAAGCCATCTCACTCAGTGAGGATTAGACTATGCAAAGGAAACCATACTCTCAAGGAGAATCAGATGCTTAGGACCACTCTACTGTCAATCACAGTGTCACCCTAATAACCTATGGAGGTAGGGGAAACTGAGGCTTCAGAAGGAATTCTATGTGGATTTTCCATAAGCAAATTGCTAGGCAATAGCCTTATAACCTTAGTGGGAAGATGAGAAGGACAAAAAGAGGGAACTGGCCCACGGATGTTGGCTTCCTTCTACATATCCCCATTCTGGTAGGAAAAGTCATTGATACCAGGATACCCCCAGTTCAGAGACAGTCCCAGAGGGTGCTGCCTGGAGACAGCTGGGATAGCTTCAGTCTCATGACCCTGACACAGGCTGCACCACCACACAATGGGCACCTTCAGGCCAGATTCTGGCACAAAGAGTAGGGGCAGGGCTAAAGCTATGGTTCACAAGCTCCCCAGCAGCTGAGATGGGGGCAGGAGGTAATGTCCTAACTCCTGCCCCCATTTTATTTCAGGACTCCTTCCACCTGCCAAACTTCATAAGTAGGTACTCAGTGAAGGTTCTTAATTTGTCTCATCTGAGCATCATAATAGACTAAATCAAGAAAACAGACACCCAGAAGGCCTTAGACTGTTACTTAAGGTCAAACAGGAACTTAGAAATAGATACCAGGTTGAGACAGCCCCTTAAATTGCTGTAGGTATCCTTCACAAATTTCACCCCAAAACAATTTCTCCAAATGATTTGTGCTGATTTCAGTCTATATCTTTAGTGCTAACTATGTGAGTCCCCAACAGCCTGTCTAATACACCTTTTCTTCCCCTCCCCCAAATTCTCTATGAAAAGCTACTCCAGGTTTAAAAACATATTTCATGGAAAAAAAAAATTTCAAAGGAGAGACAGCCAGGAAGCAGCAACAGCTGTAGAGAAGCAGCAAAAGGATAACTGAAGTGCAAGCTCAGCCAGAGGGAAGGTTGATGTTAGGACACTTCGGAAAGATAGTGTCTGGATGACCCTCTCAGACCAAATATAGGAAACTAGACTGGACAGAGCAAGGCCCAAGCTCTGACTTTGGATTGGTTGTAGTTGTCCATAGGAGAAACTCCTGCATAGACATGAGCACTCATGCCTGAGACCTATGAGCAGAGAGAGACAGAATATACCTGAGGCCCCAGATGTTTTTGGGTTTGATGGAAGAAGACTAGGAAGAGGATATCTTTAGGACCATGGCTAAGACTGGGTTCAAGAGGACTGGCTCCAATTGGTCAGCTCAAGCAGTTGGGGCAGAGCTGCTGCTCACATGGAGCTCAGCCCAGACCTGCAATTAGAGCTCAGGGAGCAGAGCTGAGAAAATGGGAAGAGTTGCTAAGCAACCAAGGGGCTGCAGCCAATGGGCGCCTGGGGCTGTATGTTCCCTCACTTGCTCCTTACTCCCTCATTCGTTCAGAAAAGAAGGGGCATCAATTACTTGCCAAAGCCCTTGAGACAGCCTGGGTGAAGTAAACTTAGGTGTATCCAAGGACACCCCACATCACTCAAGTACTTGCCCTGATCAGTTCTTCTCAGCCATCAATTGTCTGAGCCCACCTAGCACTTGAGCTTCAGGCTGCCAAGAGAGGCCTTGACTTACAAGTTGGTATCCACCTTATGCTGGAAACATGCTAGAAATACTAACTGCCAATGCAATAATAATACTAAATATTAGCAACTGATGTTTATGGAGTATGCAGTATCAGATTTTTTTTTAAACAGGGTTAATTCACTTTCTTTTTGTATTAAAAAAAAAAACCCTACGTTAAACACTTCAGATTCTCTTATTCAATATTTATGCCAAAATATCCTTTTTTAAAAACCAACCCCAATGTTTTAAGCTTAAAATGCAGTGATTGACCATATTATCTACGTTGAGCCACTGATCAACTAGGCCCATTTTCTATTGCATGATTCAGTTTTTCTACTTTTTCACCAATTCTAAAAGTAAACAGCCTTAATCAGTTTAAAAGTATGTGCATTTCTCTTTTTTTAAAAAATAAAATTACCATTAATCTTATCACATATAATAGATAGAACACAAGCACACACAGAGTCCCCAATTTAAAACATGTGATTCTTTGCTGAACACCAGGGCACTCTGCACACATTATCCTGCTTAAACCTTTATATCAACTCTTGTGAGTTTGATATGATCACCTCCATTTTGCCTTAAAGTGGCTCACCCAAGGTCTCAGATTAATAAGTGGACCTTTGGGATTCAAACTTCGACATGACTAAATGCCAAGGCTTGAGCCATTAGGCCATGCAATCTCTTTCAAGGGTTTCCACCCTTTAACTCTGAAAGGATTCCCAAAACCCTATCCTTTAAATAACTTTACACCATTCTCAGGATGAGTGTCAAAATCTTACGTTTGGCTGACAAGATCCTGCATGATTTGGGCCTGGATCGCCTACAACTGTGGACCTTAAACCCTGCTGTTAAATCATATCCAATGATTTACAAATCGTTACTCACTTAGCTCTTTCACATCCTTCCCATACATTGGCTCATTCATCTGTCTGGAATGTCCTCCCCATGTCCATCACTTCCATCTGGCTCTTACATAGCCTTCCAAGCACAGTCTGAATGTCACTTTCTCTGGGAAGGCTTTCACAACCCTCCAACTGGGTTAAATACCTTCTCTGGGCTTCTAGGGCCCTCTGCTTTCTCCATTACATTGATGGTATTCACATGCCCACCAGATTGTGCATGCCTGACCTGTAGAAGTTAAAGCATTCATCTATGTACTCCCAGTGCTCAGGACAGGGACAAACACAGCAGGTCCTCAACAAACGTTTGTCCAACAACCACTTCACTACATTTACCTTCCTTCTAGTCTTTGAATGTACAATGGCACAGGTCTTTGCAACTGTTCTGGTTCCTGAAGCTAAAACATTTCTTCTCCTAACCTAATTTTTCCTACCTCTACCCCATCCCCACCAGGCAACTCCTATTTTTCATCCATTCAATGATACAAAGTAAAATGACAGTGTCCCTTTCCTCACAGAGTAGCTACTGGGGAGACACACATTGATTTATAATGAAATCATGTTACGGGCTAAGAAGGAGAAACAGGAAAAATACTAAGAGCTCTGAGATAATATAGCAGAGAAGACCAAACAGTATTAACAGTCATCGAGGACTTTCCTATGGAAGTAAAATTTGAGGCAGAGGTGATGTATTAAGTTCGTGTTCAGAGGCTGGAAGGACCATGGGACAGTAAGAAACTGAAAAGAGTGCAAAAGTTTAGAAAATAAGTAGAGTGGTTTGAAATGACACTGGTATTTGCCACATTGTACAGAATCTTTATGAGTCACATTAAGGACTCTGAACTTATAAAGCAGAGAAAAGCCATTGAAGTGTTCTGATCAGAATGAAGATGAATGTTGTGAAGGGTTTGCTTGGCAACAGATTAGATACTCATTTTCAAAAGATCACAACTGCTAGGATGATAAAGCATACAAGAATAAAAACCAGGGGCCTGGGAAGAAAGCTCTGCTGAAATCTGGGAAGAGAGATGATGACAGCTTGGACTGGGGTGGTAGCAGAGGAAATTGAAAATAATAGATATGCAATATGGTCAAGAGTAGAACAGCCAGGACTTGGTGACTGGCAGAGAGAAAGAGAAGATTCAAATATTTTAACTGAATAATTTGCTGGATGATTATTTAATGTTTGCCATGCTCTCTAAACTGTGAGCGCAGGGAATATATCTTATTTGATTCCTTGCTATATCTCCAGTATAGGACCAAGCATGCAGTAGGCACTCAATTAATGTTTATTGAACAGATTGATGAATATGTGGTTAGCAGGTGGGGACCAGCTCACCTCTGGGCATCAGGCTGCGAGATGGCATTGACAATGGCCTCCACACTACTGTCAAAGAGCTCAGAGTCCTGCAGAGCAGCAAAGGCAGCCTGAATGAGCGCCTCACAGTCCTGCAGCGGCACCTCCAGCTGTACCCAGCTAGAGAAGCACTTGAGCACCTTCTGACGAACACAGCTAGGTGAGCTGGGTTGCTGTAGCAGCTGCCCCAGCAGTGGGAAGACAGCCCCACACTCCACTGCCAGGCTGGTCCGTACTAGACCTTTGCGGTACTGGGGCAGGCGGCTGGTCTGGAACTCCTCGGGCAGCACTGTCAGCAGCTCTAGCAGGGCCAGGCAGCGGCCCTGGCCATCCACCGGTGAGTCCTCAGCTTGGAAGAGCCGTACCATATCTGCCACAGCACACGGCCAAGCATCAGGCATCATGCTGAGAGCCAGTGAGGCCAGTGCCACGCACAGCCGAGTCAGCACAATCTTGGAGCCACTGGCAAAGCGGGTGATCTGGGTGAAGAGCTGTGCCTTTAGGCTTTCATACTGGTCAGTGGGGATGTCACTCCAGTAGCGAGAGATCTTGATGTGCAGGGCACTGGCCCCAAAGTACTGGATCTCTGGCACCTTGTCAGGCTGCAGGAGCTGCCAGCTGAAGTGCCAGGCCTGTGGAGAGACCTGGGCCTGCATCAGCCACTTCTGAGCCAGGTTCTTGTTCTCAATGTTGGGGTCATAGTAGAGCTGGTGCAGCGCCTGCAGGACAGCATAGGACTGAGCTGGCCACTCTGGATCCTGCCAGAGCCCAGAACAGAGGACATGACTTGGTCTTGCAAGATTGCTCCCTCTCCCTAACTGGGGGACTGAGCAGAAAGGGAGAGCTCAGGACTTTGTAATGTTTCCTGGGCCCAGGCTCCTGAGAGCCTGAATCTTGCCCGTGCTCTACCACATCCTCTTCTCCTTACAGCAAAACAATATGGGTTCAGAGAGGCAATCTCCACAGGAAAGCAGAAAAAGAGGAGGCTGAGCTCCTCACAGGAAGGCACATGAGGGCAAAGTCCAGGTAGAAGGAATTGGCTCCGAAAGGATGAAGTTTAGCCTGAGGCAAGTGTGGAACAACCTGAGGGGCCCTGACCCAACCAGGCACAGCTGCTCCCAGCAACTTTAACAGCTCTGTTCACTTCCTCAGGATAATCCCTAGGTCACTCCAAACGCTGGCATCAAAACCAGTGTGAAATCTGAGAAGGACTAAGACTCATACCAGGCATCCCTGGGGTGGAGAAATACTGGAGAGAGTGTGAGAATACACTTCAGAGAGCACATGTAAGGGTCCAACAAGCTGATCAAGAAAAATCTTGGTCAAGCTGGGCACCAGTGGCTCATGCCTATAATCCTAGCTACTCAGGAGGCAAAGATCAGGAGGATCTCGGTTCGAAGCTAGCCTGGGCAAACAGTTCCACAAGCCCCTATCTCCAAAAACCCTACACAAAAATAGGGCTGGTGGAGTGGCCCAAGGTGAAGGCCCTGAGTTCAAGCCCCAGTACCGCAAAAAAAAAAAAAAAAAAAAAGAAAGAAAGAAAAAGAAAAATCTAACCAGGAGCTGTCAGCTAAAAGAATCCCAAGGGCCCAATTCCAGCGGGACCTCATGCAGCAAGAAAACAGTGGCTTATCTCCTTGGTAGCACTTGGAACAGGGCGCCACCATACCAACACTGCCCAAACCCAAAGGGTGGGACAGTGAGACTAGGACTCTGACCGCTGAACAGCCTCCAACTAACTAGGCTTAGTCCTATCTCTACCCCCTGACAGCCAGTTATGGGCACTGTCCCTCGTTTGGCCCCTCAGGGATGCCAAGGGAGACAGAAAACAAAAGCAGAAGCATTCTCAATGTTATGCAAACAGAGCTCAAGAATAACAAGCGAACATCTGCAACCATCCCCTGCTTTCCAACAAGGCAGCCCAATCTCCCCATTCATCCCAGGGGGCATACATTCCTGCATTCCAGGCTGCTGGGAGTAGAAAGCAGAATAGAATCAGAGAAGCAGTTCAGAAAAGATGGGCTGGGCAGGGAGCCATGTGGACAGGTGAGTAAGGAAGGGCCCTGTAAGGTTGCCAGCAGAGACAGGCCCCTTGGAGCTAGTCCCACTCCTGCCTCACCAGGACTGGTTTGGCTTCCACCCAATAAAGGAAGGACCCCTTTTCAAAGAAGAGTGAAAACATAACCCAGATTGTTTTAGTTCAGATATTTTCTGAGCCCGTGGTTGAACAAAGTTAGGTGCAGGATGGTTCAGCATCAGTATGGTTCCTGGGGTGGGGGTGGGGGTGCACTGAGCTGCAGGTCTTCTGAGTTCCTGGTTTCCTACAGCACTGATCATGCGTTTCCCATGGAGCTGGACAACAGTCAGTCTGGCTGGAAGTCTAAGCCATCAGCACCTTAAAGGGAACAGCCTAAGACCCCAAAGTGTCTGTCCACAAGGGACCTGTGTCCAAGGAAAACTAAAAATAGCCCATTAGGTGCTGCAACATTGCTGTCCTGCCTACCGAGACAGCAAATACCAGGTGCTCTGGGGGCACCATCCCAGCGGGCACCCAGCCCAGATCTGAGCTCTGGCATTAGTGTCAGTCCCCAGAACCTCTGCTCTGTCACTGAACTGCCCACCCCAGAGCCCTCATACCTTCTCCACGTTCTCCACCGTGAAGTCCAAGGCTGGTGCTGCTCCAGCCCCTGCAGACCCGGGCTGCTCCTCCCGCCGCTCCATCTTTACTCCCTCCCTTGAAGGGAGGTGGACCCTGATCTGTCCCTTGCCCCAGCCCCTTGGCTGCTGGCCCCCTGCTAGACCCCGGCTTGGGTGCCCAGGGAACGGTCGGGTGAGGGAGTGCCCAGGGCGGGCATGGCTGTCGAGGCCTCCCCACTTCGTTTGGGGGTAAGGAGCTTGCCAGAGATCAGAAGGTAAGCTTTTCGGAGAAGACCCACTGAGGGGGCTCGGGAAAGGGAGGCGTCAGTGAGGCGATCTTAGACGGGGATGGGGGCTTCCTACTGGTGGGTCACGGCTCTGCCCCTAGAATTTGAGGAGGAAGTCATAGAGGACGGAGGCCTATGGGGGGAACCGAGCCTTTGGCCCGTAAGAGGTCACAGAGTCAACGGCCTGTACCCACAACAGCCTCTCTGGGTGAGCTCTAGGTGCTATGAGGTGGTCACGGGGCTGGGGAATCACGGAGAGAGCCCTTCGCGGGTTACGGAGGTGTCCAATGAAGCGCTGGGTGCACCTTCGCGAGTCTGGGGCGAGGAGTCCGTGGAGTTGAGGGGTTGTAGCAGGTCCCCTCTGATCGGCCTGGCCCGCGCTCTGCTCACCGCCCGGCTCCGGCCCGCTACCGCAGCTGCCTCCGCCCCAGTGACTGACAGACGGGCCTCCCCGGCCGGGACGGGGCGGGGACCTTAGCAAGGTGTGGGCTGCCCTGAGCGCCTGTCCCTGACACCGACAAATCAGGCTCCCCACCCCTGCCTGTCCTGGCTCAGCCCGGCGCAGCCCGGCACGGCCCAGCGGAACTACGCGGAAATTCATTCCGGGTCCTTGGCCCCGTCCTCGCGTCAGTCCGCGCGCCCCCGAGCAGGCGACAGAGCGGCGCGCCGCCCAAGGCCCTCGCCAAGCCAAGGCCCCTCCACTATGCACCCTGGGAACTGTAGTCCTCATTGAGCCTGGTCGGAAGGCGGTGCCTGGCCAGAGGCCGAGAGCACGTGGGTTGGGGTCCCGTGGAGCCCGGCGGGTCCCAGGGTGATCGCGGCCGACAGACACCCAGTCATATCGGCAGGGGCTACTGGGGCTCAACTGGGAAGAAGTGATTCAAGGGGCCTGGATGGAGGTGGGAGCCGGAGCTGGAGAATGGAGGGGAGGGGACCATATCACTCTGATGCCTCACTGCTGGCACATGGTCGGGTCCTGGAAAGTGGGTATTCTTTGGTGGGGGCGGGGGCAGTGGGGGGGGCGGGGTAGGCGTCAACACCACCTGGAGTAGTGAAAGGGCTTAGTACCCTTCAGGAATGAAAAAAGGATAGCTCTCAGGACCACCCAACAAGCAACCAGGAAGCCACATACCATGGACAGTACCTGGGGGAATTTCATAAGTTTTTTTTTTCTTTTTCAGTATTGGGGTTTGAACCCAGGTCCTCGTGCTTGCTAGGGAGACACTCTACTACTGAGCTGTGCCCCCAAACCAGGGTTTTCTTTAGATATGAACAAGGGAACCTCACGTTTGAGTGCTAGGGGTAGTACTTTGCATACCTTGGGTTCAGTTCTCTCAACAGCTCTAAGATGGGTATTTTTTTTTCATTATTCTAACGAGGAAAGATTTGTATTTTTATTCATCATTTTCAGATAAGATGAAGAAACAAAGGTTGGAAAAAGTAGAGCTTATCTGGCCCTTGTACACACAGCTAAGGTGTGTCTGCTGCAGCCCTAGCAGTCCCTGCTTCTCACCGTCCATCTCCTCTGCCAGCTAAGCCCAGCAGGGAAGAAAGGAAATAATTAAAAACAAAAGGACCCTCTATAGTTGGGTTCAAATGGAGGAAGTTGGCACTGGCAGTAGCTGCTGAAGCTTGAGAAGGCTGATAGAAGCTTCCCAAGGAGGAGAAACTTGATCTGAGCTTGAAGAATAGAGAAAGCCAGAGAAAAGAAAGGGAAGGGGCGGGGTGGGGAGGTTGAGGGTTCACTTAACTGGTAAGCAAAATCCAGTGGGACTCCAGTCACTCAGCAAATCTTTATCAAGGAAGTATTTGAAGAACGCTAGAAATTTGTGATCAGTTTAAAAAGATATACGTGGGTGAGAGGGAAGGGATGAGTAACAAAGATTGGGAAGACAAGTTAGAAGCAATAGACTCTTGTAGGAGTTTGGATATTTTCCTAAGTGCAATATGAAACCATGATGGGGTTTCAAGTGGGTAATGATGATTGCATTTACATTTCAGAAAAGTCTGTTTGCAGTGCAGAGGATTAATTGAAGAAAGAAAGGGTAGAGGCAGGAGATTTGGAAGGAGGAAACAGGAAGCCAAAATAAAGTAACTGGTTCCTGGGCCTATGGTATGAAATACCCTAGGCTTGGTGCTGGCTGGATATCTCTCTAGTGGGAGGTGGGGAGTGTGTGTGTGAGGGGTAAGGGGCAGAATAAGAGCACAAATTTGGGAGTTAGGCCTGGGTTTAAAACCTGTTTATGAAGCTACATGTGGTGGTTGCGCCTGTAATCCTAGCTACTCAGGAGGTGGAGATCATCAGAAGGCTCATAGTTCAAGGCCAGCTAGGGCAAAAAGTTTTTGAGACCCCATCTCAACCAATAAAAAGCTGGGTTTGGTGGAGTGCACCTGTCATTTCAGTGGGAAGCATAGGTGGGTTGTGTTAGGAAAAACGCCGCTCACAAAGAAAGCTCACAAGAAAAGTCTCACGTCCATAGAGCAAAGTTTAATGGCAGGCTCAAACTGCCAGGCTGGCCAGGGAAAGATGGCACAGCAGCTTTTATAGAAGGGGGAGGTTAAAGAAGTTAGCGCATGTGCAGTAGTCATTGGTGGGGGGTGCTGTCTTAGAGCACAGGAATTTGTTAAGGGCGGGGCTGTCCTTGGGAGTTTCTCAAGTGAGGTCTGAGGATAAAATGGCTGCCGATTTATAAATGGCGACATTATTGTTCTATCATTCCCCCATTTTTTCTTCAATAATGATTAGAGTAAGGGCTGAGGATCGGGAATTGGGGCGAAGCATCGGTCTCTTTAGCTGCTTCCTGCTGGCAGGGGGCATTGTATGGGGCAGGATCCTCAGGCTCCTGTGTCCTGGTGGGGGCCCTCATAGCACTCCTCTGGACGGTTTTGGAGAGGTTGATATCCCTGGAGGTACAACTGGTTAAATTTTTATTAGCAATAGCAGACATGCAGACTATAAAAGAATTCTTTGTACTGTTTTTATGATACAAGGGAGGAAGCTTAAGAATATGACAGCAAGAAATATAGGCATTAGGATGGGCATTAGCCAGGAGAACCACTGTGAAATGTTATTCCCTAGAGGATTCCAAGAGTCTTCCAACTCCCTTCT